ACAGAGTGAGAGATAATACTCAGAATGGGTAGACAATGCAGGAATAGCCACATGCCAACTAACTTTGAGCACCTGAGTTACTTTGGCCATCCCGTTGCCCTGGATCCTTTTGAAGGTTAGTGGGGGTAAATAGTTGCTTCCAGGCAGCATTTTGAGCATTATCAGTGTGTGTTCAGTCACTGCAGACTCCTTGAAGCTTTTGGTTTTCTTATGAGGACATAGTGCTGGTGAGTTTTTCAGAATGAGATTTTTGGTCACACAGGACTTCAGCATATCCGCAGTCAGTCCCAAAGCCTCAGAGCTAGACAGTAACAGGGAGGATTGTGTAATACACTGTGCCTGGCCAAGTCTACTTTGTACTGAATGTGGCAGGGATTTCTTTTTTTTCTTGAGGCTGTTGGTTGCAATTAGGATCCTATGGTCCTTTGTAGACTAGAATTTGTAAAAAACTTTAAACACAATCATGTTCCTGTTGAAAATCTGTTTTAAATAAAACAAAAGTTTTCCATGCAGAAGGGTTGGGTTTTTTTTTAAGTAGGAGTATTCTCAGCAAATCTTTGTGTTCTGAACAGAGAGGAAATCTTTCATTTCATTGTATTGGGGATATGCTTGAGGAAAAGTCTTCAAATCCATGGTGTTTCAGCCTAGCTAACTATGGCCTGTGCTCCTGAGGGGTTACACACCACGTCTTCTGAAGTCCTGCATTAGATGGGGCAGCCAGGAGAGGACCTTTGCCTCTTGACTCGGCACCGTTGAACCCAGTTGATCCTGGTAGTGAAGCAAGGGGAACATTTGCTTCCATCCATCTGGTTGATCCAGCCTCAGCTGGTGCAAGTCTGGTGTTTATGGCCAAAGAATTGAGGCAGTCCTGCCAAATAGTTTGGAAAAAAAGAATATACCACAGTGAATATCAGTTCTGTTTCTGTTTAATATCTGTCCTTCATCTCATAAAATTTAGGAGTTGCTGTGCAATACAAAATTTTCTAGTGGTTGAGGCTTTCTTTGTAGGTGTAATGATTTATGGTTCCTTGGATTCCCCGTCTTCCTCTGTACCATAGTGTCTTTCCTGATACAGTTTTTCCAAGTTAAGAGTTTTGCTATCACTTTCTCTGGGTAGTGGAGAATTTCTGAGCGATTGCCCATAAAGCTTAATACGTATATCCATGCCATTGGTATTCGAAGGTGAAAAACCAAGAGGCTGCTCTCTCTGCGTGTGCCCGCAGCTCTCTGGGAAATACAAATTGAGCAGCTCTGTAATTATTAGAGCACTTCATCAGGTAAGTGGCTTGGATTTGAGTTCAACACATCCAGGTTCTTTTGAAGCATGTAGTGGAGTTAATCTGTCGTTGTGAGCATCTCAAAGAAGTCCCTTTTTTTGGACTGTTACCTAAGAGACCAGAATGCTTTTCTACAGTATAACACTTTCTCCTAGATATTAAGAATTTGTATAAAGCTGTACTGTTCAATTAAACGTGTACTTTTTATGTGGCAACTGAGTGGCAGCAAGGGTGGAATAAGAAGCTTAAATCCCAGAGAAGTGTGTAGATCCTGGGGCTGCATTTACAACGGATGCTTTAGGTTCTTGTTGTGGCCATGAAAATAAAACTCTGCTATGTCATGGATTAGTGTTTTAGCTCAGATTTAAGGTTGGTCAGAACCTTCCCCTTACAGATCTGCCAGTTAAATCATTTGGGAAGAGGTCTCCTTCCCACTTCATGTTTTCTATTTTGTAGTAAAAATTCAACCAGAAACAATCTCTTTATCCGTCTTCAGTAAGTGCTTTGCATTTATCAGTCCATACAAGGAGGATGAAAATGCTCACAGTCCCATTACCATTTCACACTAGAGTATGTTCAGACCAGCCGTATCCAGTAAGAGAGCTCTGATGTGCTGGAATTTGGTGGGTTGGCAGGGGCTGATCTGTCCCTGTTCACACTGTTTCAGTGGGCATAGATCCATAATGTGGTGCTGCATGGAAGAACCGGTCCCTGTTTAAAACCTGATCTTGGAGTCCAGCAAGGCCGCTCCGGTTCCTCTTTGGATAAGCGTGGAGACTCGGAGGGAGTTGTTTCCTGATCTTTGAAAGTGAGGAGCCGTGGCATTTGGCTCTCATCCTTAGAGCACTTTTCAGAGTGTGGCAGTAGTTCATAGCATTGATCTAATTAGAAAAATACATCTTCAGTTCTGATGATAATTGGTTATGATTTGGTATTTACTATATTTGGGAAAACTTGATGCATTTTTGTTTCTCTCTTTATGTCTACATTTTTCCTAAAGTGATGAAATTATCTTTATTTCAAATACCCTGTCTTTATTTTTCATTTTAATGAGAGGTTTGAGCTGATTTGGGGAAAATGTTAATTTTTTTCCCAGTAGTTTCTTCAGCTGAGAATTTATTTATTCACTCAGTTTCTGTCAAAGGTCCTAATTAGATTTCTGTGTCTGGCTTTTAAATCCTTGGAAACTGGAATTTCTTATATCAACATTGTCACTGCTGTAGTTACAGGTCATGTGCTTTTCTGTTTTCATTGCAGACACTGAATTGTAATTGTGTGATCTATTCTTAAACTGTTAAAGAGAAAAAAGAAAGGGGGTGAGGTGACAAAACTGTTTGAAGAGTAACCCTGCAATAATCTCCAGAGTATTTATAAGGATATAAGGTTACCTCTATTTCCTTTTTTTTGCCCCCAAGCCTGTAATTTTAATAAATTCTCTCATTGCAAAGAGCAAGCAATGCACCTTTATAAACAGTGGGATTGCGAATCAACATCCCCAGTCCTCTGGTTGTCAGAACATGATCACTCCAAGAGAACAAAATGAAATGAAGCGTTACTCATTTAACATCCACATTTCTGTCCTGGATGAGAAAATGGGAGTATGGGGAGTCCATACCATCATCCAGTGTTCTGCTCAGTGTCAGATAAGAAGATGTAGACTGAGAGCAGTGCCTTTGGCTGTCCCACCCCGTGCGAATCCTGCCCTCACTTGTACATTCGTAGTTTTTGCAAACCCCCAAAATGTGTGTGCAGGGTCAGTGTCTAGAAATCTTAGCTTGGATTTATAAATAGTAAATAAAATTAGCTTCTCTTTTTCTGATCTGTTTGGAGATTTCTTTGCTAGTTTCCGTTACTGTGTCATAATGAAGGAGAGGTATTTAGTGATGCTTTGTTTGTGGGGTATTTCTGTATAAATGGATGGGAAACTCTGACATGGAAGTTCGTCCAAGCTCAAAAGTAGCAGAATCCATTCCCTTAGTGCCCTCATTGGATTTCTTATTATTTACTGCATGCTTTTAGCTACAGCTATAAAAGAAGCAGCTCTGTTTTACCTAGATAGGAAAAGTGCAATGGAATCTTTACTAGCACAAGTATTTTATGTGAAGTTTTGTCTCTCCCTTTGACTGAATGCTTGTATTTTGAGTATTTACACAGAATCCCAGACCGTTAGGGATTGGAAGGGACCTCCAAAGCTCATCCAGTCCAATCCCCCTGCCGGAGCAGGAACACCCAGATGAGGTTACACAGGAAGGCGTCCAGGCAGGTTTTGAATGTCTGCAGAGAAGGAGACTCCACAACCTCTCTGGGCAGCCTGGGCCAGGGCTCTGTCACCCTCACTGAGAAGAAGTTTCTTCTCCAATTGAAGTGGAACCTCCTGTGTTCCAGTTTGTGTCCATTACCCCTTGTCTTCTCATTGTTTGTCACCGAGAAGAGCCTGGCTCCATCCTCGTGACACTCACCCTTTGAATATTTATAAACATGAATGAGGTCTCCCCTCAGTCTCCTCTTCTGCAAACTAAAGAGCCCCAGCTCCCTCAGCCGCTCCTCATAAGGGAGATGCTCCACTCCCTTGATCATCTTTGTAGCCCTACGCTGGACTCTCTCCAGCAGTTCCTGTCCTTCTTGAACTGAGGGGCCCAGAACTGGACACAATATTCCAGATGCGGTCTCACCAGGGCAGAGTAGAGGGGGAGGAGAACCTCTCTGCCCTACAACCAGCCCCCTCCTGATACACCCCAGGATGCCATTTAGTTGGGTTTGGTTGTGTTTTATAGGTACAGGCTGTAGGTGCTGATATGCGTGATGTTCTTTGGGACACCTGGCTATGTCTGCCTGTCAGCTGTGTTGCTGTCTTATTTTCAAGTTTCCTGAAGGCAGCAGTCTTCCTTCTTTGCTGGGTAATTGTACCTTGCCGTACATGATGGCATCATTGGCCACAGCTGGTTTTCCTAGGCATTATGGTAATGTAAGTAACAGTATGTAATGCAGTGAGAAGACTTCTAGTCTAATTCTCCTTATTGAGGTTCCTAGGTACTTCACATGGATGAAAGGGAGGGTTTACTTTAAATTAAAAAAATATTTATCATAGACAGGAATTTTGTTTGGATTTCACTTATGCAAAACTGCAAGAAAATGTCAAATGCTTCAGTAAAATTCAATTTGCTTGGAAGATACAGGTTCAAGTTGTAACATCCTAGTAAAAAGAATACGTCTGTGAAAGCACACTGAGGCTAAAAATGAGTCACGAGTAAGCTCTCTTGTCAAGACAGCTTTCATCAAAGAAAATCCGTCTCTGAAAGGAGTTTCTCTTTGAGAACAGTTACGATGCTGTTTTTCCCTGAGATGCATCTGAGGTGTCTTGCACTTGATGGTACAGTTGTATTCCCAAGACTACAGGCAGCTGAAATCTTCAGTAGTATTCAGCATTTTTAATACCTTTTAGTTTATTGCCTTTTCAAGCACAATGAAATACCGATCTTCTGAGGTGGTTCTTAGCATTCAGACAGAAAACAGTGCATGCAGTACTAAATCTGACATTGTTCTTGTTTTGGCAAGAGTGAGAGGTTGGGGTATGGATTGTTTTAGGAGAAAAACACTCTATTTGCCATGACAGACATTTCTGCAAGTTCTCTTGTCTTTTAAGAAGGATCTTAAACGTAAGATCCTTTTAAGGTATCTCAAGACATGCACTCTAAACAGTAACCATTTTTTTTTTAATGTTAGCATTATACTTGGAATTTTTGACCAGCGAATGAAGAAATCGTTTTGCACAAGTTTCTAGTCTCAAGTTGAAAACCAAATGTGTTCATTTGTCTGATTCTGTGCCTGTGTTCTCTCTTTTCTAGGTCCCTTTGTACAGTAGTGTGCAAGTGGACGTACACCTCAGATGGAGGTTGGGATGACAGTTTCTGGAAGACAATTGGTTTGGAAGATTTGGTGAAGGATAAGTACGAAAAAATAGGTATATCTGGGGGTTGTTTTGTTGTATACATATACATAAAAAAGATACATATGTATAAAAAGATTTTTTGCTTTATTTTTGTGAATGACAGCAGAAATGCAGCAGGACTTGATGAAGTTTCAGATGGGTTGGTGACAAGGCTGGATGCCCATAGGTAACAGCTTTCCCAAGTACACTTTTTACTTGGTGTTGTCATCAAAACCTATGTTTAAATTTTGTGTCTTCTACCCTTCATAAAGGCCTAGCTAGCCTCTCAGTACTGCTGAGCCTCAGCAACAGAGAAGTAAATGGGAGCCTCGGCAATTGATTACATGAAGGAAACACCTGATACAGGTGCACTGGATGGCGGGCTATGAAAAAACGCCACGATATAATGATTTATAGCTGTTACTGATAGCATCTTTTGCGACCTGTACCCATCTCCCTTATAGTAATATTTTTTTTAAAGTGCTACTTCTGCTTGTTACTATCTTTATACTGTTTTTACCACTCTCTTGGAGCCTAAGTTTAATTAGAATGGTAGTCTTGCTAATAGCAATTCCTACAGCAGATATTCATTAAAAGTCCATAATGTTAATATACCAGAAAATTTCCAGGATAGCTTTATTAGACTTACTCTGTTAAGTTAATGGACTTTTAGTGGATGTGCTAAGCAGACATGTCATTAACACGAATATTACCAGACATGAATTAAAATGTGCTCATTCATCAAAGTTAATTATCTGAAATTCCCTTTGATTTTTTTTTTTAATGTCTGGCACTTTGAACAAGTTTGTACAGTGGTTTAAATGCAGCAACGCGAACTGGAAATGGCATGGGGTAGACTGCAGTGAAATGAAATGTAATGAAATCTATAAACTTTTCTGATGATCACAAAATATACTATAAGTCATTGTCAGGTTATCAGAAAATTGTACTTGAAAGCTTCCTTGAATAGATTTAATCTTTCTACTCTGCAACTGAAACTGCTTACGCAAAGGTATAAAACCTACTGGGAGCATTAGGCTTTTAGCTTCCTGAGGTTTTAGTTTGAATACAGTTCTTACAACATCTATCACGTGGCTTTTAGCAAATCTTCAACAGGTTAAAATAAGACTTGCAATAAATACATGTTTTTACCAGAAAATTGAACATCTCAGCAGCTGGTGGTCTCATGGAAGAGTATTTTTAAAGTAAATTATTTATGAAGTATAAGCTAAGGCTTTAATGCAATATTTATGCAATGCACTTCAAGGACAGTGCAAAGCAACTTGCCATTTTAAGTAACTAAACATACACGTTTTAAATGATAAAGTAGCCATTAATAAAAAGGACCTTCTGTTGTGATGGAAGCCTCATAAAGCTAATCTAGATATGGCTCAGCATTTAGCAAGACAAAACCTGCTGATTTCTGATATCAGGCTTCTGTCTTTGTTAAAACACGATGTTTATAAAATAAATCAGTAAATTAACTTCTGATAATAGTGGTTTCTTGCAAGACAGAAATGTTTTCCTGGGTTAATGGGGAAAGTGTGTAGTTCCCTGGGCAATTGCACTGATTTTTAAGAAACAACCCATAATGTACCTGGGTTCATCTTGGCTGGAATTGGAGAAGCAGAATTGCACCAAAATGTAGGGTAGAACTTGAACCTTCTGAAGAGCAGGTACTTCTGCTCATCTTGAGCAATCCTTTGGTATGTTTTTTTAATCCAAACTATAAGACACTTTTAGTTTTGCTTAATAATGCTGAAACCTGGCCTTACATAGAATATATGCTTATTTCCATGACCATTTGTCTAACCTTGCCTTTTTTTAGAAAAGAAGATGTTACATCCATTATATTTAGCTGTGTGATAAAATCACAAAAAAGCAGGACAGTGACTTCCATTCATGTATCTAAGAAGAGGGAGTAATGAGCTCTCTCTATGAAGGTGGAAACCAGGTAGCAACTACTTCTCCATTCCTTTGAGTTTATCTCCTAAACTGCTCCTGTTGGAGTCTCTTGGAAGGATTGAGCTTCAGAAGGAGACAAAAAAAACACCAAAACAAACCAGCTCACTCCCTGCCTACGAGTTGCCCAGCAGTGCTGAGGTGTGTGTTGTGTGCTGTTGTGTTTGCTTTCTGCCACCCCTAATCTTTTCAGAAGAAATGGGAGATCATGGGAAAATGGGAACAGTAACGTTGTACCAGTGACGATTTGGGGATTTCTGCTTGCTTTAATGAGTGTTCAGTGTTGCTGGATGTAGGAAGAGCACTCTGAATAAACTCAGCTTTCTTTTATTTAACTTAAATTAATCAGGACAGCGTAGATCCACCTACCAGGAAAGTGCCATTCAGTCACTTGATGGAAAGTGGTCAAAGTGCAGCTGGAATGGTCTTGTACAGTGGCAGACTCCTTCCTACCAACTCCCACAGTGTCAGCAGCGGTGGTGAGGCACCATCACTGCACAGACCACCCCCAGGAGCCCACATGTGCTACACGGAGCACAACGAACGCAGGATCACACCGTGCACAAACTCAACTCAACTCAGCTCCAACTGTATTTCTAATATTGCTTCAGGGTGCTGTCCCTTAAGTAAACGGTCTCAGCTGCCTTTAACTTCAGCACGTTATACGAAAGGAAGGCAATTTGTTTAAGTAACTCGTATGGACAAGCAGTCAGAGTGTGTGCTTCCATCACAGTGTGCTGCAGCTGACAGAAACGAATTTGAAGCAGTAGACTTAGCTGGCTTGCAGCTTAAGGAACTCAAAATTGCCAGCTAACCTAGGTAGGAGGGACACTGTACGTAGTCAAAAACTCCTTCTAAAATGAAAACAAAACCAGAAACTTAACAAGTCTGCAGTAATTCTAGTGGAATTTCCTTTTCTGTTCTCAAGCTTGTCCAAATTCATGTATGTCTGCTCAAGGTTTGTTTAGTTCAAACATAAAGATGCACTTTAATGCCTGCATGCTCCCCTTGTAAAGAGAGATAATAGTATTTTTCTCACGTCTCTCTCCTAAAGAGATTAGCAGGCTCTGAATCATCAGTTCTTTCTAAACAAAGCAAAATGTCACAAGAGAAAGTTTTCTTACTGTAATAAAAGTAAACACATAGTTTACCAGTTTAAAATAGGCACAAAAGCTATCAGGTTTTCTTTTAATCTCTAGTGAAATCAGTATTGTTTCCATGCATAGTTATGATTAGGTGGTTTCTTTTCTTGAAGTAGCTTTAACTTTCATGACACTGGAAATACTTATGGAAGTTACCTGAGAATAACTTCTTTAATGTACGTATTTCGTGATCCTGATAAATGTACTTTTAAACGTCACTTGTAAAATGTCTTGCCCTTTCAAAGTATGTTTACTGTAATCTGAGCGGTGCTTGTGGTTCCAGGTAGTATGCTGCTTTTGGTTTCAGTTTAACTTAACGTATGACCTTGTTGATAAGGGAGACCCTCGCATCTGACCTTTAGGATCTTCCACAGACCTTTCCCACATCAAGGTGTGGGTTCACATGTGAAAATTCCCAGGCTTTTGACCTTTTGCATTTCTCGGAGCAGATTATCTTTTCAGGGAATCCACATAACAGCTTGTTTGTGGTCCCCTCTGTACATCATGAATTTACTGATCACGTTTGTGAAGGTAAAGAGTGTTATCTGGAGATACTGCAGAATTTATTGAACCCATTAATTTGCCCACCGAGAGAGTAGAAGATGGCTTGTATTCAAAACTACGATGGAAGCGTTGTGTACTACAGGCATTAGCCTTTATCTGCTGTGGTGAAAGCACATGATGAGTTGTGGTATTATAAAACCTAGAAAGACATTAACAATTCCGTTAAAATTTCATGTACTCCAGATCTCTTAGGGTACTGAAGCGTATATTCCATTTGGAGGAGAATGCCTGATAAATTTTCACCACAGCTCTCTACTTCAGGAGCTACTTAAGGGACCAAATAATGAGTTTTTATTGAATGGTAATATTTTATGCCAGGTCTTTTTTTGGTTGAAGGTGGTGCCTTTGTCTGAGAGAGCATTGCAGGTACTGCAGAATAGGTTTTATTGTTCTTGAAGATCGTGTGTTGAAACGTAAAATGTTATTTTTTGTAAAGGGGTGTTTGTCACCTTCTTTGATCTGTGGTGGAGCAGCACACTGACTTTAATGAAGTATTTTCTTGAAAAGCAAGCTTCATACTTGGAAACATAGCCCTTCAACCTGGTAAGGATTTCATAGACCCATTTCGCAGCTCTTCCTGACTAGGTGTTTACAGCCCCATCCTCGAAAGTGAGCTCATACATGTGGGATCTTTATATCCTTCTGAGGCAAAACTGAGAAAAGTATTGGGATTGTTTCAATCTCACACGTTTTATGGAAATTCAGTGCTTGCCTTGGCAGATTGTGGTATCAGCAGATAGGGTTTTGTAGACAACCATCGTCAGCAGTCCTGTTCACAAGATGATACAAAATTTCTTAAAATTTCTTGGATTTTTTCCCTCAAATTTCATACGACTGGATAAAACAGAGATCAGAGTTTTATGCATATCTTCGAGCAGCGCTTTTCTCTCTGTTTCATAACTCTAAAACTGTAGCTTTGCTTAATTTGCTTTAGTGTAAGGTTGGTAGGATTCTCTCATGTTCGATTTTGACGTTGGAGGTGATGGTGGTGTAAGGAAGAACACCCTCTGATCCTTATACAGCTTTTTACTTCAGTCCCACTTTGGATCTTTTGCCCACTCATCCTTCAGGAAGAATGCTTCCTACTTTCCACATTGCCTCCACCCATCTCCAGTGGGATTTCTTCAGATTTTTTTGTTAATTTTGGGTTTTCAATTATGAAGGGTTTGACTTGACTCAAAAGTGCATTTATGGTTAGTGGTCTTCACTGCCACGTATCAGTGTATTTATTTGGTAATAAAGAAAACCGTATCTGATTTGGGACTTTGACAGGATAGCTCTGACTCTCTTGACAGGTACCTGCTGTCATTCTCACTGTGCATAAGCTTTGCAATATGCTAGGTTTTCAGATGCAGGTGCAGCTCT